GGTCGTGTAGACTTTGCCTAAGGTATTACAGTTCCTTTATACGGGCTAGCGATCGGCAATTACTACTAGCTAGCTACTACTACTAGTTGTATCATGGGTTATTGGTATTGCGACTACTGTAAAGCTTGGTTTGAAAGCAAGAGGGCACTAAGTGCTCACACCAACCAATCTCGGATTTGCATTGCAGCAAGGCAGATTTCACTTGGCATTGGCAAAGCAACAAGAAGTACTAGTACTAGGAGAAAAAGGGACATGCTACTGCAGGGCTTGGTGCCACTGACACTGGAAGACCCGCTAAAGACCACGGCAAGTTAGAAGATCTGCAGGAGAGGAGAGAGGCACATCAGTCAAATGCCAGCCATTCACAAGACATGGTGGAGGAAGATAAATTGCTTGGGCCATGCAAGATGGTGGTGGTATTGGTTCTGAAAGCGAGGAAGACAATAGAAACCAGCAGCTGACCCGCGGTTTGGTACCCGAGATGACGGCAATGAGGAAAGCAAAAGAGGAGGCAGATGAGAAGCCATAGAGGCAACTGATGAGGAAGGAAGTGACGACGATTCGCAAGAAGACACAGATGATGATGATAGTAATGAGATGATGATGAGACAAGCAGTGGTGGATAACAGCTACCCTGGTACAAATTCCCAAGGAATGGAACCATGACAATGAACCTCCAGACGATAGGAACATCAACCAATTCCGGCAATATTGTGCAGATTCAAAGAAGACGTTCCCCCCTTGGATAAAAAACAGGCTCGGGGTGTCAAATTGATGGATATCCTTCGAAAGAACAAGGCGCCTTTGACTGCGTATGATGATGTGTTGACATGGCACTTGGATGAAACTGGAGCCCGATTGGGTGACGAGAAGCTTGGTGAGGTTCCGGAGTACTTGAGCGGAAAAAGTTGATGAGCTTCCTCATGAAAGATACAACATGGGTGGCAAATTCCCTTTCACAAAAGACCTTGTGCTTCCACTTCAGGTGCTAACATCAAGTGGTGTGCCACGATGCTCGCCATTGTGTGTGGCAATTCTTGCCGATCAACGCCTCAAGGACGACGATTTCTGCTTTTTCGATAACGATCCACTAGCTCCACCACCTAAAACGAGTACCAAAATCAGTCAGTTGAACACTGGTGAGGCGTACCGCAATTGTTACAAGGCATACGTTACAAATCCCCGAAAGCAAATGGAATCGGCATCCAATGGTATTTGATGGGGCAGTGACTGGCCAGTTCCAAAACCTTTCGATAACTGCGCTGAAGATGTCTCTCTCTTGTTTCTCCCTGAATATCGAAGGAAGGATCAGGCATGGGCAACTCTTGGATATGTTGTCAACTACTCGGCAGGCAAATCACAAGGAAAGAAGATATTTGCCGACTCAAACCATGATCAAGCAGTTCTGGATTTCCTGAATTCCGAAGGTTTACTTCCCAATGATCGTTTACAAAATGTGAGTGTGGTTACCAAAAGCTAACCCCCAAACCGCTCTGTACCGGATTCTGTATGTAGTTTCCATGTTCATTGGTATGGCATAGGGGACAAAACGGGACCACAAAATTGGTCCGTACCTATGGGGTTGGGAATTTAGGATGCATGCAGGGTTCCAAAACGGTGCATACTGCCACACCCAATGGAGAACCCAGTACATGTTCCACAACAAACACCATCCAAATCCGGGAGCAATGACGTCACCAATCGCCTAGGGACGCATGTCGTTCGGTACCTTCCAGACCTCGCTGTTTTCGCGAGACCCCATTATGCGCTTCTTAGATGTACGCCTTCGGATTCAACTGGCCAAGACTGCTCGGGAAGAAAATCCGAGGGGTTCTCTCAAGAATTCGATCGTGGATTTTTTTCAGCCAGGTTCTACAGCCAGCCCTACTGCATTGTACGTACATGCCCACAGCCGATCGATGCATTCACCTCCACAGCAATCAAAGCACGGCCGAAGCATTCAAAGCACTGCCACAGCATTCAAAGCATTACCATAGCACAGCCACTGCTATAGTATATGTTGTTGCCATTGTCTACTCTACTATCTTGTTGCCTTGTTGTTGTCAGTCCCAGCTTCTATACCGTACGGTTACAGCCACAGCCACAGCCACCAACAAGTCACCACCACTGCCACCAGCATCCAAAGCCCTGCCGTACGGTAGCAAAGCACTGTCAGTAACAAAGCACAGCCACATTGTTGTCATTGTCTACGCTGTCTAGTCTCCCTTATTGTCATGAGTGGCAGTCACAAGCAAGCTGCTCGTCGCAGCGCTGTGGATGAAGACGAGGAGCCCCAAACCTTTGGTGGCTCTGATGGGATTCCCCTCTTTCAGTTGCCACCGACTGATCCCTCTGATGCTGATCTGCTCAAAGAGCTACCCAAGAAGCGCACCTTGGATTGTTCTCTGCAAGAGAAAAAGGATCGGCTTGTGATTCCAATCGTCAACGAGCGAGAAGACATTTTGAAGGTGGTCAAGCAGAAATTTCCTGGACCGAATCCAACCACAACTTCAGCTATTTATGACGCAGTGTTTGCTGCCATTCCCGAGAGCTTCCCCAAAGCGTCTAATGGTACAAAAATGGCCAAAGCTGTGCTCGAGATGTACAGTGCGCTGAATGCTTGTATTGAAGCGTTGGACGATACTGGTGTCCGTGTACCCCGAGTTTTATCTCGTCATTTTGAGGAATTGAAATTAGCCATTGCTTCAGCTACAGCAAATTTCCAAGCCGATGCACTCTCCAAATTCAGCAGTGTCTTTGTTACACTGACGACGCAACAGAAAGAACGGTGCTACAAACAAAATGGGTTCCTTCCGACTGATGAATCCCATCGCATTTGTCTTGGCTGCAAACACGGATATGTCGATGAACCAGACTCTAACAAGATTGTGGCAGAAAAGAACAAGGAAAATCGGAGAGCCTTCGAAGAGAAGAAAAAGGCGGCACTGGAGGAGGCTAAGCGAAACAAAACTCAACCAAAACGTATGACCGCCCCAAAGGTGGAGCATCATTATCGACAATGCCATTGCTCACAAATTCGCTGTTTGAGTCCCGATTCGGATGTTGGCTCTTCTTGCCCGATTCGATGCATCAACCCCGAGACGAATCAGAAGTACGGCAAAGATTCTAGCGGTGTTTGTGCTTGCCCAATCTGCAAATGCACCTGCAGCATTGCCGTCGTGTACAATGCCTCCCAAACTCTACGCACAGTTGGGATGTTGCAAGAGAATGACATTGGACGACAAGAAGAGATTGAAGCTGAGAAGGGCCGTTCTCATTTGTCTTTCCTTCTCGACGAGGCATGTACTACATCGATGCGTGCCACAGCCAACAGCGGTATCCCGGAAGAGCAGCGACAAAATATGGCGACAACTGCAGCAGCCAAATCTCTAGCTCGCAATTTCCATCCTTCCCATCACCGTGCCTTCATCAAGAACATGCGAGAAAAGATCGGAAAGCCAACAACAACCGCGTCTTTGCCAGCTCCCCTGCTCATAGGTGGAAAATTTACCAGTGTTGGTCAGTTAAAGCTGATTCTCTATTTGTACCGTTTGCCATTGTGCTCTTCAAGATTGTACGAGCTCACTTTGTTCTTTTGCAGCTGATACCCGTGCTATTTCTGGTAATTTTGCTGGACACCGGAAGCGAAATAATCAATTGACAGGGGCAGAGCAGAGTCTGTTGCTCGGCTACCACTCAAGCCTTATGCTGATGCCTACGCTTTGATGGAAGCAGCAGGTATCAGTACAAATCTCGGTAGCAAGGAATCCCAGGAAGAGGAGGAACCAGAAGAGGATCCAGATTTCCTACAGGCAATTCAGAACAGCCTTCAGGGTGAACGATCGGTGGCTCGGTCCCAACAATCGGTGGCTCGGTCCCAACAAATGACACCGCCAACCAGTAACCTTGTGGTTCTGTTGGATTCTAGTACACCCCGTCCACCTCCAGCAGCAAACAGTGCGGAAAAATTCAAGACTCGTGTCAAGCGCCGTGCATTCCAACGGTCTCAGGAAACGGCCGAAGTTTTTGATTCCGAGAAGGGTGGTTCCCCGGAACTGCATGCCAAAAGTCCGTACTCTCTCAAAGTGTTCCAAGCATTGTCAGGTTCTGGAAATGCTACTGTAACGGAATACACCGAAATGTACCATGATATGAAGCCCGAAGCTGACAGCCAAGAGGTGTATGAAAATGTGAGCAACATGATGCGTACTATGGATGGGAAGAAGAAGAAGAAATACAACTAGATGGCTAGCTACTAGCTAGCACGAAGGGAGCGATGTCTCTTACAAATAGCGATGTCTCGTACAAATAGAACAAAATAACTGAAAATTGACAACAAAACAATCTAATCTTAGCTAGCTTTTAGGGGGCATACCCGCAGTGAGCAAAGTATCTGTCAAACTCTCCATTGGCCCGTTGACAAATCTGGTAGATGGCTTGTTCTAGCTCCTGGCCTGTGGTGACATTGTGGAGTTCCAAAGATAGCTGTTGCTGAATGTAATTGAAAAAGTACTCAATAGGTCCATCCCAAGGATTGTAGGGAGCTCGAAAGACAAGTCGATGGCCGTTGCTATTGAGAAGGTAAGCAATCAAAGGGCTGTGGTGGGCAGCAAGATTGTCGCAAATGAAAGTACACGTGTTCCCGCCGCCTCCAGCACCAATACCACCAGGGCCATTGATAATCTCTTCAAGAAAGTCATGCGTATCCATCACAGATGTGCCAGCCCGAAGAGCAAAATTCACAAAACAGCCACCACCAGCGCCACCACGAATTGCAGCTGTCAAAGTATATTTCTGTGAGTGGTTGTATGGTCCTTCTTCTCTAGCTCTTGAGCCAATAAAACATTTGCCATAGCCACGGTTTGTTGTCTCCACCCAAACTCCAGCCTCATCCCAATCAATGATGGTACTGCGGCTAGTTCCAGCAATTCCATTGGGATACGGATCGTTCCAAAATGAGTGTCGCTTGGCAAGATTGATTGGGAGGCTAGCCTGATAGGCGGTGGTGGAGGCTCTCTTTCGAGAAAGGCCAAGATAATCTTCCGCTTCTGTGATTTGAGATTCCGAATAGAATCGCTGCTGCTGTCCAGGGAGAGTAGAAGCAAAAAGAAAGGCATTGATTTCTGCTGCTGTTGCCTTTGGATAGCACAACCGGTAGAAGGAAAGCATGAGTAGCTGGTGTCCTTTGAGTACAGTTGCTGGATTATTGCCATTCATTTCGTAAGGGTGGAGATGTCCTTCTTGATTGATTCGACGGTGCCATCGTCTTGTAGACCGTTTACTGGGATATTGCTGGAGCTGCCGAAGATGATCAAGGGCTGGAGTGTCTTCCTCTCCCATTACACGCAATGCCACAGCAGCATTTCTTTGAGCAACATCATATCCACGAGCTCCACCTCTTGATGGATGAGGGCGCAGGCTAGCATCTCTGATGGTACTTGGTGCTGGGCGCTCCTTGGGATTTTTGGTTGGTGCCATGGTGGTGACGGCACCGCAGATCAAGAGCACCGGCCAACTGAATTGAATCAAAAGCGCACCGACGCTAAAATGCAACACAAGTAGTAGTAGCAGTAGAATCAGTTGGCTGTTAGATGATAGTAGTAGATCTAGCAGTGTCGGCAACATGCAATTGAATAGCAAGAGGATAGTAGCAGCGTCGGCAACATGCAATTGAATAGCATGCCGCCAAATTCAAAAATTGAGAGCAGGCTTGGATTTCTGAGAGAACCCCTTGATTTTTTTGAGAACCCCTCGGATTTTCTTCCCGAGCAGTCTTGGCCAGTTGAATCCGAAGGCGTAGTAAGTAGTCGAAAAAATGCAATCAGTGGCACATGAGATGCGCCACTTCCTTTCTCCATACTTGTTGCGGTTTCTCTATACTTGTTGGTTCTCCAGACGTCTCCTCGAATTCTGTTGCGATTCATACTTCTTGAATTCCGTTGCTTTCCATTGTTTAGGTGAAAGTGGACAAGTCTTCTGCCTTCTTGCCCTCAGGAATTTCAAATCCCATCCACTCTGGTGGCCCACGCACCTCGCTTGCTGAACAGCTCGAAAGAGATTCAACCAAACTTGGACTTGGACTTCCGCTGAGACTTCCACTTAGCAAAGAGGCGGGGTACCCGTCCACGCTCTCGCCGTCGGTAGTGCCTAGAAAGGTTGATCCCTCCATGATATGACGCATGTTCTTGACACCCATACTCTTCAACAAGTCCCAACCAAGGACAATGAAAGGACGCCCGAGCATGGAGTCCTGGGCCCAAAACTCCACCCCACCAGAGGAACCGTCGACGGTCAAACGGACCCCCACCACGAGGACTGCATGCATCAACGTGGTATCATCTCCTGCTCCCTTCAATTCGTGCCAATCACCAGAAAAGGAAATATTCTCTACCAACTGTTGGTCTCGGTAAGCTGAAAAAGGCTTGTAGTTGGCAATGACGAGCGGACCCGTCGTTTCGAGTTGGCTTTGGACCTTTGCAAAAATCGTTTGGGGGGTGTCCTTCACGTTGAGAACCACTAAGTTTGTTTTTGGTTCCTCTGGTGATGGTGCTTTCCAAGAATCTAGCATGTGTTCCAGAAAATCGATTGGATATCCACCGTCGGCCAAAAACACCTTGGCAAATATCTCCTTCGGCTTGAACTTGTTACGCATGAAACGCCCCAAGTTGATGGCATACTGGTTGACACATTCCGCAAAGCTTGAACCCGTGACCTTTGCCATGTAGTAGAATATGGCGCCGGCCCCCACCAGAATCCAGCAAACGGTGGAGAAGATTGTCTGGTAGCGAAGGAAAGCTTCCACGTTGGGATGGTCAGGGTCGTAAAAGATAGAATACACGGACCAATCAACGTTTTCACGCCAAACGTTGCCGGTCGCCTCGTGGAATTTCTTCTTGATCGCGCTTGATGTGTCTGCGAATTCAGCACGATCACCTCCCTTCCGCACGAAGGCCTCAAGTCGCCGACCAATGTCCGTGCTAGGGTCCAACGCCTCCATGAACGTCGTGGCAATATTTACTGGAGTAACATTGGGCAAGTGGTCCATTGCACAAGTATCCTGTTCCATCATAAGGAGAAAGCCCAACTTTGCCTGTTGCACTTGGTTCAACTCAGCCCAAGAACCATTGATTGGTCGCAACAGATGGTTGGCTTTTTTTATGATGAAAAAACGAGAGGTCTGCTTCGCTTTTGGAGGCGGTGTGCAAATATTGGTAAAGACAGGGGCGAGCGAATCATTGTAGTGAATGGCAGAACTGGCATTCCCGCCGCCGGGAGTGACAGGTGCTGTTTTGGTGTTGTTCATCCCTGCGCGACGAAACAAAAGTGGAGAATTCAAGAAGAGCGATGTGGTTGCTGTACAACGACTCTCACTCCGTAGAATCTACTGATTCCGAAAGAGAGGAACGGTAGACACTGTTGCTCCGAAAGCAAGTTCCGAAAAGAGGAGGAAGGAAGGGGAGAGGGGGGGAGGCTGCTTGGCTTGGTTGGTTCACGATAGAAATTTGCGACAATGGCGAGGCTCTGGTAGGCCGGCAGCGTAGATCCTACAGAGAGTCGTGGATTCGCGAGCGAAAAGATTTGGAGGCGAAGAATTGAAAGTGAATGGAAACTGAGAGGAGTGGTTGCCGAGTTCCGTTCGCCAAAAAGAGTCAAATGAGGCAACGCAGGTGGAAGCCGGGCCGGTCGTACCAGTTCGGTTTCAGATGGATGTACCGCCTTGCGCGTAACCCATTGCGTTACATTACATAAGGGCTGAATAATTAATTAGGGACTACTTAGGGAACCTTGAAGATGGATGTCGTGGGGTGTTCTTGGGCGTTTTCTCAGGTTTCCAGATCTTGCAGCCAGAGGCGAATCAAAACGAAAGAGCACGAGATCGCGAAAGAGCACAAGATCGAATCGAAGAAATGTATCAACGCATTCACGAGATCAACATGGTGTTGAATCCAAGGGCTGCCGAAGGTCATTACGACGAGGACTACTAGCTAGTACAGTAGGCATCTTCATAGACGTCGGCGCGAGGGATGGATGAGGGAGGCTGGATGTTGGGAGGCTCAATCGCCACGAGGCTGTTTGCTGATTGATTCCAAAGGTTGTATTCGAAGTTCAAGACCAACTATTTTTGAATAATTAACATCCGTCCCAAATAGCCGTTTAACTATAGCAAAAACAGTATTTGGGACGTGGGACCCAGGTGGCGTAATAATAGTCGATCTCACCTCGGTCCTTGCTTTGGAGGTAATTTTGGAGATAAATTACCTCCTTGAAGGTAGTTTTCCGCCGGAAGGACAAGTGGAGTCGGAAGCTAGGAGTTACCTAGCTAGTGTTGGGGCGTGCTCTTCGCTATGAGCGCCTATCGGCCATTAATGATTCAAACACAAGTCGCTCTGATCGTGTGAGGGTGTTGCTGGCCAGCTTCTCAGCTGTCGTGCCACTCCTGTCAGATGAAGGGTTTGTCGATCGTTTGGTAGAAGACTGGAAGGTGGGAATCCGTCGTCGTCGAGACAGGCTGCCACTGTTGGCGTTCGCTCCTGTTGCGTGCGAGGGGTTGCTGCGCTCATCCGGGCCGCAAGCTGCAACTCGGAAGCTGCAACTCGGGAGGGCTGTTGTGGAGCTGCCACTGTTGGCGTTCGCTCCTGTTGCGTGCGAGGGGTTGCTGTTGGCGTTCGCTCCTGTTGCGTGGCTGCGAGGGGTTGCTGCGCTCATCATTGTCGCTTCCTCCGGGCCGCAAGCTGCAACTCGGGAGGTCTGACAGTCGTGTTGCGTGCGAGGGGGTTGCTGCGCTCATGGCATTCGCTCGTGTTGCGTGCGAGGGGGTTGCTGCGCTCATCATTGTCGCTTCCTCCGGGCCGCAAGCTGCCTAGCTAGCACACGAGCTTCCAAACACTCTATTTACTAGGTTGTTTATATCTAACCGTGAGCGGCGCGATCGCTATGATAACAAGCTACTTGATAGTCTGCTAAATCTGATGGATCTTGTGGGCATAGACATGTTCGATGAAGGAGTGGGGGGTGTTAGGTGGGAGTGGGCGGTACCAGGGCTTGGACTTGTTTGTCAGGAACTCTTCGTTCATGCGGATGATGGAAAGGTGTGGTGTTGTGGCAACATTGAATGGTTGTTTGCCTTGGGTTTTTACATTTGAAGCCTCTCTCAACAATGCACTCTTAATGCGTTGCATCATGACACTGGCATCTTCCATCGATGGGGTGTCAATGGGGTAGTCATCGAGGAAGCGTACCATGACCCTGATGGCTGCCTTAATCTTTCGGTATTTGCATCTCATGCGGTTGTCAACTTTGGGAGTGGACTTGTAAGATTCCATGAAGTTGCAGGCAAAGAAATTGATGAATACGACTTTGGGATCAGTGTTCCTTGTAACAAGGTCAAGGAGTGCCTTGATAGGTCGGATGTTTAATTCAGACTGAAATGGGGACTGGGTGTAATCAGCAGTGGTAATGGAAGAGGTGGCAGGAGAAGGTACTGGGACGACGGCGTCGATGAAGTTGGTCTTGGTGAACAGCTCTTGGCACGCCGTCTTGAACTTGTTGAATTCAGTTAGTTCAAGCCCAGCTCTTGGCAGTCGTTGTTGTAGGGTAGAAACAATGATGTGGTTCTTTGGGTCTTTGAATAAACCGTTGGGTTCTGCACGGATGTGGTCTACTAGCTGATCCCACTTGGTTAGGATACACATGAGCAGCATTTGCTTGGCTTGAATGCAGAGCAGGTCTTCAGGGATGTGGCCAAAGAAAACAGAGCAGATCTTGTCACCGAGGTCCTTTGAGATGACATTGTACGATGGAATGGTCACACGCTGATAGTCAGTGCCAACTTTGGACCAGCCTGCAAGAGCCTTTGCACCATCAAGGAGGTAGGGAAAGGGATTTGAGAAGTACGCGGCGCTAGCTCCTGGTCCTGAAATCTTTCCATCATTCCATCCACCAAACAGTTCTGCTGCAATATGGAGCTTGTTACCGTCAAGAAGAAACTGAGCAGTGTGCTTGCCGAAGTGTGATGTGCCTTTTCGGATGGTGTTTTCTGCAGGAGGGTAGCGCTTCCAGATAGAGTTGAGGGTGTTTGTGTAATGGGTTGAAACAGCAGAATCACCGGTTAGGGAGGCAATGGATGGCATCAGGGCTTTGTCATTGTGGATGAACAGGGCCAAGCTGATGGCAACGACAAGATCACCCAAAACATCATATTTGTTGGGAATCAAAGGGTGGTTGTTGTCGGCTCCCATCTTGTCACGTACAAGGTAGCACTGAAGGATGTTGTTGAGGGATCCTTCATGAAGCTCTCTGGTGGAAAGGTTCTGCACAGCTAGGCGGGAAGTCTCGGTTGCCCTGCTGCAAAGACGGAGTAAAGCTGTCTGGAAGACATAGAAGTCGATGTACTTTTCCAGGTTGAACCAGAGGCAACGTTGCAGGATGAATGCAATATCTCCACTGGTATAGACTTTATTCTTGGGTGGTGTGGGTGAAGCTTTCTTCTGATCCTTGATCATGGTCTTCAAGGATTTGAATGCAGATGCATAGGTTTCTTCAATGACTTTCAGGTAGCGGGATAGCATGAGCTTTTTAGTCAGTTGGTTCTTGATTGTAGGCATGTAGCGTTCCAAGGTGCCGATGGCATAGGGGTCTCCGTTGCTTTTCTTGAGACTAAACCAAAAAGCTGGTTGACCTTCCCAGAATACAAACCACCACTTTGTTATATCGTCGTCGTTGGTGGAGAAAGAAGCACCAGTTTCACCTATGTCTGCATAGTTGACCTTGGATAGACCGAGCCGGTCTTGGAGGTTATCCAGATAGGGTTGGATCAAGGTGGCTGTGTTGTTGTGCTTGGCCTGACAGGACTTTGAAGCTGAACCATAAAAGTTGACATTGATGGTCTCTAGAGGGGATCCCATTGCAGGTCCTTTTGACGTCCTTAGCTTGGAAAATGTTTTGGTTTTAGCTTGTGTAATGTCGTTTCAGATTGAAGATCATGCGAGAGCTTGGAGGTGGGATGAAGTTTTCAGGTGGGATACTAGGTTGGTTGATTATGACCTAGTGGGAGTCGACTGTTGCCTTTATGACCTAGTGAGAGTCATCGAGAGCTGGTGACACCGGCATCATCAATTACTTAGATAATTTCCGCCTGACAGACAAACGACAGTTAAGGTGGACGCCCAACTTTAAATAAGCCAGTGCCAAGCTGCGATAACATAGGTGTGCACACATGTAATTATCGCGATAGAATCGAGGGAGAACAACAACAACAAAAGAATCGACATCTGCTGCTAAAGGTGTGTTGTAATCCATGGAGTATACAGCGATCTGACTTCTGGCTATACAGGATGGGTTTTTAATAGTAGTAGCGAGAGGTTGGCGAAGGGTATCAGGACCGTGTTCCACTCCACCTGTTATCTTTCTTCATCGGCAGAAGGTGTGACGATTCTTCGATTCGGCTGCTTCGAGCTGATAAATCTCGATGCCTGCTGGTCGTATGGCCCCACAACCATACACTACTCTCTTCCTTACACTATTAGCATTAGCTAAGTATATGGTTGTAGGGCCATACTCGAAGCAGGCATCGAGAGAATGAGCTCTCTAACAGTGCCAGTGCATTTGGTGCGCTAATGGTGTTTTTGTTTGTTCTTTGCCAACGGGACGGAATCTTGGTTTTTGGCTGAATTATTCAAAAGAAATCCGGCGAGGATGCCCAATCCGTGATGTAGTACTATTTTACTATATAAACCGTCATCCGAGTACCGCTTTCTCACCAAAATGTGAGAGCAAATTTTTGTATTCAAACTCTTGTACCCTTCAATAGCCAACGGCTAGGAACATATCTTTCTGGATCACATTCTGCTATCCCTACCGGAACAACGCAACACCGGAACACGAAAACAGTTGCAGGACACGACGGTACACCGTCTGCATGCCACGTCCAACACAAAACAGATACAGTGCGTACTACTAGTAAGGTTAGCTGACTAGCTACATGAAGTTGGCTATTGCTAGCGCTAGATGGCATTGCTGGTATCTCCCTCATCCTCACTGCTGTCGAGGTCTTCCTCATCAGATGTGTCATCCTGGTTCAGCATTGCAAGATGCTCTGTTCCAGGCACAACTGTGTCTAATGGCATCTCCTCCAAGAATGCCAAATCCTGGGCTCCATCCTCTTCTAGAGCTAGCACATCTTGGGCTGCAGCATCCTGGTCATCAGTTTCCTGGTTGATTGTAGGCATAGAAGCAGCAGCACTAGTTGGCCCTTGTGGAGAGGATTCAGCCACAATATCAGCTAGCTTTTTGCCAGTTTGCCTGCAGAAGATTGGTGGAGCTTCCAAGTCACTCTTGCCAGCATGTAAACAACTCTTCTTTGCCTTTTTGCTGACATGACCAGCCTTGCCGCAGAAAGGACAATACTGCTTTGCCTTCTTTGCTTTCTTACGAACTGGAGGCATCGTCCTGAGATCCTCCATTGTGACGTCAGCCATATTGAGGCCGGGGTGGTAAACGCCCGATGATTTTGCAAACTTGGTCTTGAATTCTTCCGTTGCGTTGACCAGTTTCTCGTTTTTCCTCTTCTTGCGCCCCTTTTTGTAGTCAGTCGTCTTCTTCCTGGCTTGTCGCTTCTCCCGGTTTCTTTGCACAATGCCCAAGTAGTGAGTCAATTCGTCAGTCATTTCGATTCCGAGCTTGAA